CCTTCATCTGTGTCCCCTGGGCAATCTTTTCATAAATGTCTACATTTCTAGGTCTTATTCATAACTATGCCTGCAGAGCCTCTTCTGGCCCTAGAACTTCTGCATATTCCAGGCAGGAACACACCTGAAATGTGTAGTTGGCATCATGGCATGAGCAATTGCACACAAGGAAGAGAAGCTTGGTGAGGTCATCAAGCTGGGCAATCAGGAAAAGGTACTTCAAAAACATACAAGGACTTTAAAGTGGGGGATAGCTTCCAGTTCCTGTGACTCCTGGCCAATGGAGTTCATGATTGTGACCAAAAGTGTCATTGCTGGGCACTGAAATAGCAGCTGGTGGATTGTTAGGGTCAACAGAAGTCATACAATGTCTACACTCAGACCGTGTCAATCACAGTACATCAGCCATGGCTCGGTGCTGTTCAGGGTAGTGCTCTTACTGTAATGGGGTGCTTTCATCAGCCAGAGATAAATGTGAGAATAGGGTCATGCAAAGATAAGTCAATGGAAGGGTACTGAAGTCAAATAACTTTGTAATGTAGTCCAGGCCTTAGATACTTACATGGCCCTCATTGTTGTGGTATCTCAGCATTTCGCAATCTCTAATGAGTTTATTCTTATTCTTACAGCACTCCATGTGAGGCAAGAAAGTATTATTATCCCCATTTTACAGATGATGAGCCAAGGTGTAAAATGGCCAAAGTCACACAGTAAGCCCGTGGCAGAGAAGGAATTGGAACTCATTTATTCCAAACCCTAGGCTAAGAGTATAACCACTGAACAATTCTTCCTCTCACAGGAGAGTGTGTTTCCTACCATGGTGACACAAACAGCCAATTAGCAGAAAACAAAGAGCACACCTGGAAGAAATTATGTAAGACTTAACTTTATAGCCATTGCTTGGAAAATAAAGCTACCAGTAAAGAAGATGGGTGTAGTAAAGAAGACGGCGGGAGCCATCTCTGGTCATTTTTATTCCATGAAAAAGAGGTGACATTAATGGCTGATAGAGGATTGAAAGACCATTGGCTTTATTTGGGACTATAAATATTACCTAATGTTGAAGGGGAAGGATGAAATGTCATTAGTGTCATTTTCTTTTCATCAGTCTCTAAAGCACTTTTATATTTTTAATCGTTACCTCTGATTTCAAGGTCTTTTTTTGAAATAGTGGCATTCAACAGGAAAATTCAACAATTTCAGAAGACAATTTTAGTAACAGTGAAGTGGTAACATACATTTAATTTCTGTTACAGAAGTTAGGGTCCCATAGATGTGGCATCAGACTGGGGATGAGGGAACCTGGAATTATCATCTTGGCTTTGTTATTCAGTCATTTTGTTACCATGAGTAAATCACTTAACATTTCTGCATTTCTGTTTCCTATCTGTAAACAGAAGATAATATTACTCTCCCTGTATCATAAAGGGCTTTGAAATCTATAGATGAAAAGCCCTGTATAATGGCTTGTTATTATTAAGCAGAAGAAAAGAGCACTTAGACCCAAAGGATAAGGACGATTCTTTGTCAAATGGCAGACTCCTCAGGAATAAGCTGGAAGAGGCTATGGCCAACCAAACTCAGTTAATGTTCTCAGCCTCTTGGAACTGCCGAAGGATGGAGAAATAAAGGGTACAGTGATAAAGCCAGGAACTCTGAAAGGGAAAGAACAGAAAGATTTAAGAAAATAGTTATCCAGTGTTTGCAGAAAACATTTAACTTTCTCAAATATGAAGTAATTAAATCTCTAATTACTCTCTTCATCACAGAGAGCAGACACAAGTTCCAACGAGCTGTCATTCTCAAATGATAGTTATTTTCTTAATGACTTTAATTGCTTTTCTTTCAAAAGTGTTCTCTTTTGTCACTTCAGAAGGGCTCTGTAGCAGATATGACTGGAGATCATATATCAGTGCTACTGAGAAACTCTCAGCTTTACTTGACACGCAAATCCCTGTTCTGCCTCCTAGATAATAGGAATCTAATATTACAGGGTCATAAAGTCATTGAAAATTGCAGTGGAAAAGGCTTTCAAAGCATGTAGTCTCCCAAAATCCAATTGCTCCCTACAGTATATTACTCAGTATATTTTCTAGGGCTTTAAAATCATTCTTAGTATTGCATTCTTGTTGAGCAAAGGAATTGATTTGTAAAGAAGGATGGAAAGTCTGTGGTTACTATTACTTGCTGATTTACTGGAGCACTTAGAAAGGTGCTGTAAAAAAGAGGAAGATCTGTATCTTCACTTCTTGGGTTATGCAGCTTGGATAACTTTTAGGCCGAATTGTATTGCTGCTTCTTACGGCGGGAGGGGGAGGGGGGAAGGGGTTCATGTCTTTAACAGTTGGATCTTATTAGTATTTGTAAAAACTTGTATTGAATTCAAGGCTGTATTATCCTTCACATCCTAGGAGCCCTCAGAATGGTAGCGTGTTAGTCTGTAACTGAAAAAAACCTTAAAAAACAATGAATAGTCCTTCAGCGCCTTAGAAACTAACAAAAACAGTAGATGGTAGCTTTTGTGGGCATAACCCAAATCTTCAGATGAATTGAGCAAAGGGTCCAGAGGTACAAATAAATTGCAGAAAGAGAACGGGGGGGAAATTATCAATTAGGCTATGTCTACACTGCAGAGTTTTTCCGGGATACCAGAGGAAAACCAGAGGTATCCTGGAAAAACTCTGCTACGTCCAGGGAACATGTCTGCTCTTCCAAAAATGTTTTGGAGAGCAGATGTGCTTTTTCAGCATCCCTGTAAACCTCGTTTTATGAGGAAGAAGGGATGTTCCAAAAAAGGGAGTTTTTCCAACATTTGGCCCAGTATAGACAGGCCAAATTTTGGAAAAGCCTCTTCCGAAAAAAGTGGAAAAAGCTACACAAACTGCGAACTGCAATTTGTGTAGTATTTTCTGGAAGAGCAGTGCAGTGTAGGCATAGCCTTAGAATGTCTGTGCTAGGTGGGACTAATAGAGTGGGCTGTAAGTGCCCCTAGAAGCAGTATGCCTGCTCTTGGTTTCCCTAATATAATAATGTATGGAGATAGCTATATCTCATAGAGCTGGAAGGGACCTTGAGAGGTCATTGAGTTGAGTCCAGTCCTCTGCCCTCATGGCAGGACCAAGTACCATTACTGGCAGATTTGCCCCAGATCCCTAACTAGCCCCCTCAAGGATTGAGCTCACAACACTGGGTTTAGCAGGCTAATGCTCAAACCACTGAGCTATCTCTCCCCCTCCCAAGCTCTTAATTATTTATATTTAGTGTTGTGCAAAAATAATTAAAAGCAAGGGAAATTCTGTTCATCCTGTGAGCAGGTGTCATATAATTGAAGTGCCAAGGGGGCATAGCTAGAGCCAAAAAGAATGTGTTTACAGACATTGTTGGAAAGCTCCTCTCCATTCAAAGAAAACAAGCTAAACAACCAACAAAGTAGCATTACTCAAGTAGGTATGAGTTGTGGTCAGTTCCCAAATGGGAAGCAGAGAAAGCATACAGTATAGTTGGGTGGCCGTGACCAAAACCAAGAGTTTTGATTGGGTTTCTTGATGAGAGGAGTTGCTACTATCAATCCCTTTCCTAGTAACTAAGCATTACAAATACACCACTGCTACCATGGGCAGCCTCATTAACAAACTTGAAGAGAGTCTGAGGACTGAATGGGCATTCCCTTCAGAGCTGTTGCTTATAGAACAGGATTGAGGTACACTTGCAGCAAACCGTTGGGCCAGCTTGTACTATGGCTACCCTTATTGACTCCTTTGTACGTAAGCAGAAGGTTTTGCTTTACATGGTGGTCAATTTGACATCTTTGAGGATTTACCAAAGATTTAGAAACTAAACAGAAAATCCAAAGAAACTATTTTGGAGAGATTTTCCTGGATGAAATGAATATTTCTGTTTTACATATGATAATACTAGAAGATTTACCCACTGTTGCTCGAGTCAGTGATATCCCCATACAAACTGGGGCAGAGGAGGGGGCTCAGCCCATTTGCCCTCCCCAATGGATGCCTGGAAGATGGGAGATTCAGGTGAGGCTGGGGATAAGGAGTTCAGTATGCAGGCTGCCCCAGGATAGAGGACTACCCAAGCCCTTTCTCACTACAGAAGCTTGGGGCCATGTGAGACCTGCCTCTCCATGGTTGTTGAAGCTCCAGCAGGCACAGCCCAGGGTGATGTACATTGCCCCTGGATGAGGCAAGTCCAGGTACACCTTTCCCCTGTACTCCCCAACCAAAGTGAAGAAAGCAGCAAAGGAACAGCTAGCAATGTTCCAGTATAAAATGGGGAAGTGGATACCGAAATTAGTGGTCCTAGCTCTTACCTTTTAGGAGTTCTTGAGCGAACAGACAGGCACACTGATAGACAGACAAACTCTCTCAGGTATATAATAGATTAATGTATGATATTTAATCAAATACATGGGCTACGTCTACACTGGCCCCTTTTCTGAAAGGGGCATGCTAATTTTAAACTTCAGAATAGGGAAATCCGCGGGGGATTTAAATATCCCCCGCGGGATTTAAATAAAGATGTCCGCCGCTTTTTTCCGGCTTGTAGATAAGCCGGAAAAAAGCACCTAGACTGGCCTGATCCTCCGGAATAAAGCCCTATTCCGGAGGATCTCTTATTCCTACTTCAAAGTAGGGCTTTATTCCGGAGGATCAGGCCAGTCTAGGTGCTTTTTTCCGGCTTATCTACAAGCCGGAAAAAAGCGGCGGACATCTTTATTTAAATCCCGCGGGGGATATTTAAATCCCCCGCGGATTTCCCTATTCTGAAGTTTAAAATTAGCATGCCCCTTTCGGAAAAGGGGCCAATGTAGACGTAGCCATGGAGTTTACAACAGAGCTTAAGGTTATCATTATTGTATTGATTTAATTCTTGCTTCCTTTTGATTTAATTCTTGCTTGGGGTGGTTTGTCCCTCATCAGGAGAAAAAAAAATCTTTGCAATTATTTCACTTGTTGTTGCATTGTTTCTCTTTTTCTCGGCCTCAGGAGAAAAGATGCTGGGCTCTTGTCTTACAAAGAACATCTACCAGTGAGTCAAGTGGTGGTTGGAGATATTGACAGATCTGGCTCAGAATCCAAGTTGACTGTAGGTCCTGTGCGCTGTCAAGGAGACCGTAAGTTTGCTGTTTTTTTCCTTGCTATTGCTCTTGGTAAGCTGATAGCTCTTTTCGGACATAGGGAAATATTACCTCTCCGCTTAAGCTCATGCAAGTTACATTTTGCTCACAGCCACTTTCTAGCAGAGTCTAAGATGTACAGTGAAAGGGAAAGATATGACCATAAAGCCACCAATATAAAGGGTTCCGCTTTGGATCTAAAATGTGAGTCTTCATCTTTCTTGTATGGTAAATGGGGCATCTCTGACTACCCAGCTAAGTTTATGATGATATGAACAGCAATACAAATAACATAAGAGCAGCACTCAACAGCTGCCATGCTGCTGAGAGCAACTGTTAATGCCATTAGCACTACTATTTGTATCACCATAAGCTAAGTTTATAGAGGTATAAAGAGTAGCATTATGGCTAAATGCATCATTGTAAACTCAGGTTATAACCGTGTAGTTTGACGTTACTTTTATCAAGTATCATCTTCATCCAAGCTCACTGTTGACTTGCAAACCTAGGATACTTCTCCGTTAGAACTTTCTAGTTTTAAATTTGTGCACCAGAGAGGGGATATCCACTTTCTACCTTGGTCTGTAGGAGGTGCAATATCAGAGTTATAAATATTAAAATATATGTTTTATGTAATAAATGATGGTAAGTGATTTCAAAATGAAAGAAAGGGAGTACATTTGGCTTAGCCTTCATTCTCATTCAGAAATATAACTGGTGGGGTGGTTCCTTTTGTTACTATCAGATGTGCATTCAGTCTGTTTTTTCAGTTGGAGAATTTTTCTGATTTCTGTTAATGTTTTCTGTTTTCTTTTAATATTTGATCAGTATTGTGTACAAACAGTTTGTGTACAAACATTTCATGGAACGTTGGCAACTTGTTCTCAGCAACTGATTTCAGTTTATTATTTGTGGGGTCTGACTGATGACATGAGCCAGAAATTACTCTCTGTTCCCTGATGTAGAAAACTGATGCTTATAAACAAGATTTTACAAATTATGAATAGGAAATTAGAAATAGTAAACACTTTTTGATCCACACAAAATCTTCTTCATATCTTGCACATAAATACCAGTATAAATAAAAAATTGATTGGAATTCAGCTATTCCTCAACATTAATGTAAAGAAAACCTCATTTGCTCAAATGTTTGTGAATAGCAAACAGTAGAGATAATTGTAACATGGCTGAATCCAAAAGCTTTTGGGGAAACGAATGAATTCCTAATAGTCCATTTGCATTGTATTCAGGCTGCTGTTTGAGTTAGACTGACAAGTTTTGTGAAGCCCTAAATCAGGGGTGGAGAACCTGAGGCGCAGAGGCTGGATGAGGCCCCCAGCTTGCCTTGATCTGGGCCTCAGGGCTTAGAGCTCCCCCCCAGCATTGGGGAGCCCACGCTGGCACTTCACCCCCAGTCCCTGTGCAGGGCTAGAGCACACAAAATCTACTAGCCTGTGCCTCTCTACACACCGGTGTGTGCTTCTCACTTGTGTGCAGCCCCCTGACTTTTCTGCGGGTGAGCAGCCCACAACCCAGAAAAGGTTCCCCACTCCTGCCCTAAATCATATCCTGTGAATAATTACCATGACCCTGAATTCACCCTGAATTCCTGGCTATCCCCCATCCCCAGAGCACTCTGCC